GTTACTAAGTGTGACCATCTTTTCTTGGTTGGAAAAATTACTAATTCAGAACTTATATTTAATATAAGTACTAATTCAGTACTTATATTTAAGTTAGCTTTGAATAAGGTAAAGAGAATCTGTCAAAATGCAGGATGATGCAGAAATATCTTAAAATTGGTTTTGAAAAGTCAGAGTGCATCATGCCTGAAACTTCCTCCCAAATGTTTCAGAAAAAATTGTATATTTGTAGAGAGATAGGTAAATATAAAAAGAATGATTAATAAGATGTTAACATTGGGGGAATGTAGGTCAAGGGTGTATATTTTTTATTATTTTAGAAACCTTTTTATAAGACAAATTATTTCAAAATAAGATAAGAAGAAATGGTTATCTACTATCAGTTTTTGTCAACTTTCTCATCTGTTTCCATCTGCTTTAGCATTCTTATGTATTCATTGAAGTCTCTGGCATTTGTCTTTCATTTCTTCTCTCTATTTGATGGCATTTTTCTGGAATACTTTTGTGCCTTCAAAAGTCACACTTTTAGCAGCCTGATTTCTTGAATTCTTCCTCTCCAGGTACTCTCACTATCAATTTGTCTCATCAGCTCATTTCCAGATGAACTACACCTAAGACTTTGTCCTTTACTGTTGCTCACTTTATTTATTTATTTATTTATTTTGAGACAGAGCCTCAAGCTGTCCCCCTGGGTAGAGTGCTGTGGCATCACATCTCACAGCAACCTCCAACTCCTGGACTCAAGTGAGTCTCCTGCCTCAGCCTCCCAAGTAGCTGGGACCACAGGCGCCAGCCACAATGCCAGGCTATTTTTTGGTTGCAGCCATCATTGTTGTTTGGCGGGTCCAAGCTGGATTCAAACCTGCCACCTTAGGTGTATGTGGCTGGCACCTTAGCCACTTGAGCCACAGGCGCCAAGCCTGTTGCTCACTTTAGAAATGTTCATATCCTGATATAAAATCTTGTCATTTCTGCACAAGAAATGTCCTTTTGTTTTTCCTTAATTTATTCCTTCTCCTTTGTACCCATTCCTATTCTTTATGTTCTCTTTTTAGTTTTAGAGTCTATCAACCTTTTTCTTACTTCATCTAACTCTTTGGCTGTCCTATAGTAGTATGTTACTTTACCTATTCCTCGTCCTTTTGGAGGGCAATGCCTTTGTAAAGTCTTCCTAGAGTCATAGCATTTTATGTGGGTTCATTTTCTGTAGCCCTAGCACAATCCTTATTATACAGTATTTAAATCATTAGGTCAGTTGCCATCCTCACCATACAATAGAGTCCTTGAATGGATTGTTTGTTTCTTATTAGTCTGTGTTTTCCCAGTAACTATCATAAGACATATCACACTATAGGTTTTCCAGGAATGATCAATACATTAATGAGTAAATTAATTAGAGGAGTCAAACTTTCTATTCAAATGATTGAACACTGATGTATGAAAATGCAGAATGGTAGAGAAGAACAGCATTGAACCTTCAGATGATGTAATAACATCTGAAATTGTATTTGCCAAATACATTTGGCCAACAGCAACAAAAGAAGGTAGCAGGAAAATTTTATAAAACTTGGCCTTGCTTACTCTAAAGTAAAATTAGATCCTCAGTAGAGAACTATGGATAGTCTGATTTGTAGGCCAGGCTCTATATGTCTGCTGAACAGAATTAGGAAAAGAAGATGTTATAAATCACAAGTGGTACCACAGAAATACAAAATATCATCCAATACTGCTTTAAAAACCTCTACATACAAAAATTAGAAAATCTAGAAGAAATGGATACATTTGTAGAAATATAACTTCCTAAGGTTGAATTAGGAAGAAACGGAAATCCCTAACAGACAAATTGAACTGATAATAAAAAAATCTCTTCCCTCAGAAAAGAAGGCAGCACCAGGCACATTTCATAGTTGAATTCTACCAGGCCTACAAAGAAGAACTGACACCTGTCCTACTGAAATTGTTCCATAACTTTGCTCCTCCTAGTTCATTCTGTGAAGCCAGTATTGCCCTGATACATTAGCCAGAAAAGGACACAACAAAAAAAGAAAACTACAGACCAATATCACTCATGAATGTAGATGCAGAAATCCTCAGTAAAATACTAGCAAATGGAATCCAGTAGCACATCAAAAAGATAATTCTCCATGATCAAGTAGGCTTCATCTCAGGAATCAAAGGATAGTTCAAGATACGGAAATCAGTAAATTAATAAATGTGATTCACTGCATAAACAGAATTAAAAACAGAAACCATTTGATCATGTGAATAGACGTAGAAAAAAGCATTCAATTAAATCCAATCCCCTTTATGATAACAACTTTCAACAAACTAGGCATAGAAGGAACATACCTCAGAATAATAAAAGCCATTGGGGATAAACCCATAGCCGCTGTCATACAGAATGGGGAAAACTTGAAAATATTCCTCCTAAGAACTAAAAGAAGACAAGGATGTCCATTTCCACCACTTTTATTCAACATAGTACTAGAAGTCTTAACCAGAGCAATCAGGTAAGAGAAAGAAATAAGGGGACTCCAAGTCAAGCTGAAAGTCAACTGAAGAACTCAATATCATTTAATAATAGTGGTGAATGCAGAAAAATACCTACAAATATACTTAACCAAGGAGATAAAACATCTTTACAAGAACTACAAACACTGATGAATCAGAGATGACTCAAACAAATGGAAAAACATCCCATGTTCGTAGATTGGAAGTCCCAATATTGTTAAAATGTCCATTGTGCCCAAAAGAATTTAGAGATTCAGTGCGATTCTTATCCAAATGCCAATATCATTTTTCACAGAACTAGTAAAAGCAATCCTGAATTTCATATGGAATCACAAAACCCCACAAATAGCTAAAGCATTCTTAAGCAAAAAGAGCAAATCTGGAGGCATCACTTTGATCTGACTTCACATCTCAGCATGGTCTGTTAATGATAGAGAGGGTTTCCTTAGTGTCTATAAAATTTCTTCATTCAGATTTTGAAGGTTCTAATACCAACCTATTCTTTTTTTTTTTTTTTTTTTGAGGCAGACTCTTACTTTGTTGCCCTCTGTAGAGTGGCTATAGCGTTACAGCTCACAGCAACCTCTAACTCTTGGGTTTAAGTGATTCTCTTGCCTCAGCCTCCCAACTAGCTGGGACTACAGGCACCTGCCACAAAGCCTGGCTATTTTTTGGTTGTAGTTGCCATTGTTTGGCAGGCCTGGGCTGGCTTCGAACCTGCCAGCTCTGGTGTATGGCTGGCGCCATAGGTGCTTGAGCTACAGGTGCTGAGCCAATACCAACCTATTCTATAAAAGCATAATGAACATCTAAAGAAAACCAAGTGGGAGTTTTGAGATGTCAGGAGCCAATAAGTAATCTTCAGAGATAAGATTTCTATTTCTAAAAGTACCAAACTTTAAATTAAAACAATATAATACTGAAATCTCACAGCTATCTCATAGTATATAATTATGACAGCACATTATCTCTTCTAATTCATTCCTTAAAGATGAAATCAAGAGTAATTTACCAAAAATTAATGATTTATTTATTTATTTTTGAGACAGAGCCTCAAGCTGTCCCCCTGGGTACAGTGCTGTGGTATCACAGCTCACAACAACCTCCAACTCCTGGGCTCAAGCAAGTCTCCTGCCTCAGCCTCCCAAGTAGCTAGGACCACAGGTGCCCGCCACAACGCCCGGCTATTTTTTGGTTGCAGCCATCACTGTTATTTGGCGGGCCTGGGCTGGATTCGAACCCACCACCTTAGGTGTATGTGGCTGGTGCCATAGCTGCTTGAGCCACAGGTGCCGAGCCAAACTAATGATTTCTGATCTAGCTTCCAGATACAATAATTTCCAGGGCTTGGAGTTCATAACTGGCAGTTTCTAATTTCAACACATATATAAGCAAAACATTTTTTCTTAAGGAATGAATATTTTGCGAAAGGTACCTTATTTGTCAGTGTCCCTATCCTCTTCCTGTTGTAAAACTACTCTCTTCTGCCTCAAAAAGATTTAAAATTTGGCAGGTTGGCTAAGGCATTGCCAAAAAGCAGGTAAGATTCATGTGCTTTTTAAAGTTCAAGAATTAGAATTATTATTCTGCCAGGAATAATAAAGTACCTGTACTAGTTACAATCAGTATTTGTGCCTGTTGATCTGACTTATTAGTCAGTGAGTTTGCTTTGTGTATGTATGTGTTGCTTTTTCCCCTAACTTTACTCTATCATCAACTATACACTATTTCTTTAAAATTGTCATTATTTATTAATTATAGCTTAAGATAATTTTTGTGAGATATTATCAAGTAGATTCTGTAATGTATGATAAAATGGAGGTTAGAAATAATTTTCTTTAAGGTAACTAATGTTTATTGATGTGTTAGGCACTAGGCTGACTACTTGGCATGCATTAACTTAGTCCTCATAAAAAATACTATTATATTCCATTTTATAAAGAAGAAACTGAAGCATGAATTAGTTAAGTAACCTGCCCAAAGTTATGTACTTGGCAAAGCTGGAATTTTAACCCAGGACCTCTGACATCAGAGATCCTTGTATATTATCACTTTACTATAGTCAGTTTCCTATTATAAGAAATCTAGAAAAAAGTAACCTTGGAAAAAACAGTACCTCCAAAAGCAATGATTCTCAGCCTTTAGTGTAGGCTAGAATCATTTGGGGAGCTTCAAAAGTATAGATGAGTTCCAATCCAGAGATTTTTGTTTAATTAGCATAGGATTGGACTAGGTTTTAGGATTAAACAAAATCTCCTTCCAAGCTGCACCCGATGTTGTGAACTCACTATTCTAGATATCTATTGATAATGGAAATATTGATGACAAAAACCACATTGTACATGTTTATCTGATTACAGTAGGAGTGAAACTACTAAGTAAGTATATGTGTAAGACTATGAGAATATTTATTTCTACAAAAATGATTAAATATGTTGCTATGGTGTTTCATATATCATGCATTGTTTTGTTTATTTGTTTAAATACAGATACAACCCACAGTTATCTTGAACACGACACTATAGGGAGAAATAAACATACCCAGCCAGATGAGCAACTGACTATGAATTCTGAGGAAAGTATACATCAGAAATCCAATGAATTACTCCATGAAGACACATATGAGGGCACAGAACTGCCCGGGCAGAGATCAGGGAATTTTCACGTCATTAGTCCTTATCCAGATGATGAGACAGCTTACTGCACTACTGAAAATTCCAAGTGAGTACTCACAGCCTTAAGTTTAGAAAGTATGAATTAGAAGAACTTTTTTTTTCCTTGCTCCCCTCCTTCTTTCTTTCCTTTTAGTGTGGGCTAAATTTGACATGTCATTAACTTTTGAGAACTTGAGGAATCTGCCAGGGTTTTCTGCTGTTTTCTGTGGTATTGATTATGTGTATGTGTATGTGTATGTGTCTAGATAGCTCAGTGAGAAAGCACCAGATGAGTCTTAAAAAAGGCAATGAGGCTTTAATCATTCTTGTTTAATATTACTTTCTGCAAAATAATTGTTAACTTGATATAAATTTGGATATCATTCATCAGGGATAAAAACTGGCAGCTCCAGGATAAGTTAAGCCCAAAGATATTTTTTGGTTTTAGTTAGCACTATTTTTTGTTTAAATGAATTTGAATACTTTTAGAAGGCATTGTACTCTGCCAGTTGCCTTCCTTACATGTACTATTTTATGTTCTGTAGCTTTTACCCATTCATTTTGCCTACCTAACTCATGAAAGGATTTATATTTTTGTTACTTGCAACTTTTATCTGTGAGATTAATAACAGACTATGATAATTAGTCATGTGCTTTGAAAATACTGTTAGCTTTTAAAAGTTTCAGTGACAAAGATAATTTGAGTCTAGATAAAATCATATTTTCAGAATATTATTTTAACGGAATTTTGCATAGGAACTGCTATTTCTACTTATAAATTTTTCAGTGGATATATTAATGAACATTAACATATACCAAAGTAGATATATTGATGTGTTCCTATCCCTTAACAGTCAGTTCTTCCTGAGGTAAGTTGCAGATTGGAGTATATTTTGAAGGGCACAAATGAATTAAGTGGGGATAAACATTTTTATAACCACATGGAGAAAGCTGTAGAGATTGGGTTAAAGCCAGATTATGAGATATCTAGGAAAATTACTGCAAGAGATACACATGGTAAATAAAGCTGCGCTGTCTCAAACCTCACTGCTTAATTTTTTCTTAGTGACTGCAGGATTTACCTATGCTTACAGATTTAATGTCTTCAAAAAACAACCCATCTCTTTTCCTTTCCCTTTATACTTCCTTTACAAGTTCATACTCTTGTCAGATAGCATTAAAAAATGTCAAAATTTTTTGTTTAACTTAACCTTTAATTTTACAGAAATAGGTTTTAATTTTTAATGTTTTAAATTTAATTATGAGAATAAGATATTCTTCCAACTAAAAAATTATCTAACATTGTTTCTATTTTGAGAAAAATGAGAAATGTGTCTAATCCTAATGAAAGGTACAAATTGAATTATTATTCACAGACTTTACCACCAAATTTATTTGAATGAACCATAATTCTCTTACTCTTGCTAAATAATTTACATAAATTTAACTCTCTGAGTTGATAGGTTGGCATCTCTGTGAAATTGATGTATTTATTTATTTTTTCAACATAGTATTTTCTTAACAGTACATAAAAAGGGAAATTTAAAATTTGTTATCTTTACCTATTTATTGTTAAAATTAAATTTTTCTTCCTTTTTGATGTGTAAAATTTAGAGATCCTTTATAGTAGAAATACTATGTATATATTGTTCAATTTTTTTTTATTACAGCATCATAGAACCTGGAAGTAATGATTTGCATTATGAATATATGATGTCTTGTCAAGTTACTTCAGATTTAAGTAAAGAGAAGACAATAGCATTTTTGCTAAAAGAATTGGATATTCTCAGAACAAGCAATAAAAAGGTATAATATCGAAAGGGGAGGAGGGGCGCATTGGTAAGCTCTCACCTAATGTGCATAGTGTAAGGGTATGCAGCATACCCCCTGGGTTAAGGGCTCAACTATAACTTGAACTTTACCTTAGAAATGCAAATGATGTAACCTAATCATTTGTACCCTCATATTAATCTAAAATTTTAGAAGAGGTATAATATAGAAAGTCTGATAATTTTACATTATTCTTTTAGCCGTTGACCTTCTAAATTTGCTTTGTTGCCCATCATAATTCAGTTTTATTGTATACTTTAATCTTTCTGCAGTAGATTTATGCTGTTGCCATACCTTACCATCAGGGTATGGTTAAGCTAAAGCATTGGCTATGAACAGAATTTTTTTGGTTTTCTGTCCTGTTGGTCTGTGATATCAGTTCTCTTTTCATAAACTCCTGCCAACTTTTATAGATTCCTAAAAAAAAAAAAAAAAGACTCATTTAAGTTTTACTGTAGCAAAACTTCATTTTACCACTATGGAGAATGAGAAGTATTATGCACTAGCTTCATGTTGCTTCCTAACTTATATCTTCTTTTTTATTAGTATTTGTGCCTGGTGCTTCGCCTCAGTAATGCATGTAATTAAACACTAAAATAGCAAGGCTTGGCAATATCATCATTTACCTGGTGTTATCTTTTACTGCTGTATTTTGTCCAATCTAATTTCTCATGTCATGTTTCATTTTATTTTCTGACTCTTAATTTAGCATTGTGAGCATTAAATAGTGTTATTAAATAATGTTCGTTTTCTGTACCACCTTTTTTTAAACCTCTATGTACTTCTGATTTAATATTCTAGTTGTTTGACCTAATCAAACTGAAGCATGATGTTAGGAATGTTGATTATGTCTGAAGGAAAACAACACAAATGACAAAAGCCTAGGAAGGAATGATAAAAACACTTGGAAGGAGTCTCTATGAGAGCATGCGATGTTTTCTGTACTTTCATTTAGCCTTTATTTATTGCATGCCAGTTATGACTCAGGTGCCAGTGCTAATTTAAAAGGAATATGACGGGATAGCATCCTGAAAAGCAGATTTGTATCAGATATTAAGATTGTTATCTTAATTAATTTTGTTTCAAAATATTGACCTTACTTAGAGAAGCTGTAAAGCTGTGCTGTCCATTGTTTTATTAGAAGAATCCCTTTCAAATCTTTCACTTTAAGACAAAAGAATGGATGAGGATTGCTCTCTCAGTGGTTATTTTGAATAACATTCCTCTTAATTTCATTTGCCTATACACATGCACACACTCATAAATCAAGTGTATATTAAAATGTTTTTATAATTTCTATGTCATTATGGGTATTTATAAAATATCTTACAACCGTGAATATTTTTTCTGGAATTATATATTTAGATAGTTAAATAAGATACTGTATGAGAATTTGGGGAAAAATGAATATTTTACTTTGGAATTGATTATATTTGTATAAGACATTTGTCAGATAAAGAATCTATGGGGTTTCTTTTTTATTTTTTTTCCAATATGTTTTAGCTTCAAGAAAAACTGACTAACAAAGACAAAGAACAGAGAAAACTAAAGTTTAAGCTGGACCTCCAAGAAAAAACTACAGAAGCTAAAATTGCTGAAAAGACAGCAGGTATAGTAGATGAGTATTAACATATGGCTTTAAGAATCACATGCAAGGTTATTACACGATGTGTCTTGGTGAATACTAGCATACTGCCTTATTTGCCAAAGGAGGAGAATCTCAATCTGTCCTTTTTTTTTTTTTTTTTTTTTTTTTTTGGCTGCTAGGAAAATAGGTGGCTTTAACATCCTGGTACTGGTATTAGTGAGAGCTTTACCTGTATTCATACTGATTTGGGCATTAAATGCATTGTTAACACCATGTCAATCCAATCACAAAAAGGTTGTTTGTTTTGTTGGAAGGGCCTGAACAAACAAGGGGAAATAATGATTACCACTGCCTCTACCTTTCAACTAGCAGTTCAAATACCACTTATTGTTTTAGCTCGTTGAGAGGAAATACTCTTGTCTGTTATATAAAGATAGTCATATATTCATTGCCAATAGAAGACTACATTTGATTCAAAAATTTGTTTTGTGCAATTAACAAGTATTCAACTGGTGATGTAGATGCTGATCAAGATAATGTTTTCCTTGAAATTAAAGTGAAAGGTTGCCAGGCTTCTGGATTATGAATGACTACCTTAAATATGTTTTGGAGTCTTTCTTTACTCACAGGTCTTTGCAAAAAGAAATTTTTTAGTATACTTGTGATATGTTACAGATATGATCAAATGATTCTCAATAGTCTATGATCTTCATCTCTGCATGCCACTGTGTGTGACTGTCTCTCTCACACTGTTTCAGTGTGTTAAGGAAAGAAATTTCATGGAATAGTATACATTAGCGTTTGGAGGCATTTTAGAGATTACTTACTTTAACTTTTTTTATATCCATTGGAGTGCTTTTAAGAAACAATGTGTTTTGTGATTAGTCTGAGGTTGTATTCATGCTTTATAAAGCACTTAGTCTGGTTATGTATGTGGAATAATTTCTTTATTTTAGGTCAGAAATATGACTAAGATAGCTTCTCTTCAAAATAATACTGTGGCAAATAGAACTAAATGTCACTATGAAAATAAAATTAAGATGCTTGTAAATAAATATTTCAGCTGAATACCAGATAGTTGCTTTTTTTGGTAATATTAAACTACCATAGCATTTTTTGTTTCTTTTTTGATAGGGAAATATGTAGTAATATATTTTAAGGAAAATTAATAATATATTAAAATGAATTATTCAAATATAAATGTAGAGCAATTTGAAACTTTCTTGACTTTATTTTCAAATATATATACTATATATACTACCTAATAGGACAGTATTATAAGAAGTATGTTGGTTTTGAAATATTTGCATAATAATTTAACTTTCACATATATTACAGAAGTATTTTAATAATATTTGTGCTGTCATAACTTACTAAAAATCCTGACTTTATGTACAGTAATCTTCCCTTTATCCGGCGCCTGTGAGAATTGTTAGGTTCCGCTAAGTTGTAATTTTTAGTTGCTTGAGAGTTACTATTAAAAATAGACCTCGTTCTACACATACTGTATCATATAGCATACCATAAACTCTGTCTTGACTTGATGTTAATACTGAAATACACTAACTAAAAGCAAATTAAGACAATTAACGGCAAACTTCACATACTGTAACATAGTTTTACTGCATCATATTACAGCTTTGTAAATGTGGTATACAATTTCAGTTAAATGACACTCAATACACTTTCAACTTTACTACCATGTTTCTTTAACTTCAAGTAGTACACACTAACACTTAAAACTGTTACAGAAAGCATATGGGGGCCCTGATGCAGGAAGTGTGGAAGTGTCAGCTTATTGACAACTTAGGGCACCAAATTTAAATTCTGATTTATTTATTTATTTACTTTTGGCCAGGTTGCTTGAGAGTTGCCTGTTGCTCTTGGGATGGGAAACTCATTAAACGATAATATCTACTCTTTAATTTTACTATACCTAAGCTTATACGTCCAATATTTATTTATTGGTATAAATTTAAAATTTCCCTTTGATTAAACAATTTGATTCTTGCATGTTAAAATGGAAGGATTTTGATTATTCTATTCTTATTAATCCTGTTTCTCATTAATAACAAGGTATTAAGGTTAAGTGTTGAAAGATATTTAATATATTTTTATAGCCTTCTAAGTTGATGAAAATATCAGTGCGGTTATTTAGTTTCTATGGATAGAACAATCTAGTTAAGAGATATGTCCAACCACTTAGTTATAAACATGACACAAAATGAAAATCCCCTGAAGTTTTTTTAAGTATAAATTTTCTAAATGTATTTTTACTTTTTAATGTTTCACTTCTGTCTTTCTTTAGAAAGAGATTTAAGATACTTTATTTGTAACATTAGAATTATTTTTATAATCTCAAAATAAAAAAAAGAGATGAAATAGTTAAGAAATTCATTCGCTTAAAATAAAAAAATTAGTAACTGACCCTTGGTAGACTCTTAAACTTTTTCATTTCATTTTATATAGATAATCTTAAAGTATCTTCTGACTAATCAGTAGGAGGTTCAGTCACGAAGCAAAACGCAATAACAAAAACTCAATGTCAGTATTTTAATAGAAAGAAGAATAGCATAGGACTATGATTACATGTAAAAATTCTTTTTTTCTTATGATATGAAAGAACAAACAATCTCCATTAGCGTGAGTATCTGTATCACTGCTTGTTTTAATATTCAAAAATAAAAAGTATATTTGGCAAAGTATGTTTTAAATACGCACACATACATAAATATTCTAATGTACTTAAGCAGAATATAAATGTTTAAGAAATCAAACTTTCCATAATGAAAGAAATATAGTACTTGTAAAAACATCTGAGATAAGCATTAGAAATAGCAAATAGGTTACAAAAATCTGTATCTATAGATTTTAAAAATTAAGTATATAGTAAAATATGAAGTACTCTAAGGAATTTAGTACTTAGACATTTAGACATTTTCTCAGAATATATGAAATATTTATAATATATAATATTTAAAATAATACACTATTTTAAATTGCACATGAACTTTATGGAAATCCTTTATGATAGCAAGAGAACTTAACAATCTATCAATAAGGTAATTGTTAAATATAGTATTGTGCATTTATGCTGTGAAACACTGGGCAATAATTAAAAACTATTTATGGATAATACTTAAATAGAAAATCTTCATAACTCAGTGTTAAGTGAAAAAAGTAGAAGGAAAACTATATAATTTTGCTAAACTATAAATATATAGATATACATGTATATTTTATAAAATGAGAGATAAATTTTGATGGTCTTTAAATGAAGCTATTACTGCTTCAGTGAATAGTTTCTGCCTTTTTTAGATTTTCTGCAATGCGACTATGTAAGATTTAATATTGAAGTGTGTTTTTTTTTTTTTAGAGACAGTCTCACTTTGTCGCCCTCTGTAGAATGCAGTGACATCACAGCTCATAGCAACCTTCAACTCCTGGGCTTAGGTGTTTCTCCTGCCTCAGCCTCCCAAGTAGCTGGGACTACAGGTGCCCACCACAACGCCCAGCTATTTTTTGTTGCAGTTTGGCTGGGGCCAGGTTTGAACCCAGCACCCTCAGTATATGGGGCTGGTGCCCTACCCAGTGAGCCATAGGGGCCACCCAAGGTGCATTTTTTTTAAAAAGCTTGTTTGCCTTCTAACCTTAAAATAATTTCTGCAATAGATGTGAGACGTGAGACTGTATAAAGCAAAGTTTTGTGAAAACCATGACTGTAATTCAGTCTTGCCATTTATCCTTGCCATTTTTCTAGTCTTTCAGATTTCCCTTGTATTTATTTTTGTATCTTTATATTTATTATGTAACTTATATATATGTTATTTCATTTTGTCTTCTAAGGTGATTGCATTATTTATAAGAAAAAGAACCTGCTATTGTCAAAATCACATACAAGAAAAGGCCCCCATTCTAGGCAGTTTAAAGTAATTGCAGACTAAAAGCCTTGAATCAGATTGACCTAGGTTCAAATCATAGCTCTGACACTTACTATTGACTTTATACCTTTGAATAAGTTACGTAGCTTACTTTCTCCCAAGTAAACTATGAATATTAACTAATGTACCTGATTATTTTAAGAATTAGATAATAATGCATAAACCAGCTAGCATATACTATGTAACAAGTTCTCAGTAAAGAGAGAACTTACTGTAGCTAATATCAGTATTATTTTATTTTATGTTTATCAAATTCTTAAACTTTCAATAGTGTCATCATTGTAAGAAATTTGAAAAAAACATTTTATTGTTTCACTTTTAATTAAAAATTATAGTTTGCAGTTAATAGATTTTGAAGGGGAACTATTGAAACGTGGATGGAAAAAAATTGGAAACAAAAGAATTGGATTATAAGGAAAATTGTTATTGATACACACACATACATATATTTGATAGCACTATTACATTTTTCTAAAATGTGAATCCAAAATGAAATGGGATACAAAGAATTTGGGCTTTAAGGCAGTGTGTACCTGTGATAAATCATTGTGGATAGTTATTGAGCTTTAGTTTGTGTTTTTAGTCACCCAATTGATTTTTATATAATGTGAATACAGTTATTCTGATGTGATTTTATGAGAGTTTGAAACGCTGCTGTGTCCTTTTATCATTTTCAAATCTCTGGTAGTTGACTCTTTTACTTCCCCTCCTTTTCTTACTTCACCATCATCATCACCATCATTGATACTGTTCATTAGGTATGCAAATGCTTCATAGGAACTATGCTAACTTCATTGCAAAACAAAGAGATATTTGTCAAGGCTCGTAATATATTAGGCACTGTATTAGGCACTAATCTACATTAGGCAAAAAGACAGATTTGGGATTTCAGGCTTTTTTTTTCCCCCTGTAATCACTTCTCAATCATAATATACTATACATGTGTTAAGTGGTGCTTAAATGCTTAGACTTTGGATTCAGACCTTTGTTTTTATCTTTTTCTACTTATCACGTGTAATGAAAGCCTCCCTAGGCATTTGTTAATATCTGCTATAGGTTGCTGTGACGTTTGAGATAATG